AACAACAACAACAACAACAACAACAGCTGGAATGCCACTCGGTTGTGGGATGACTCATTACACAGCATTACCGTGGCTCTTGCTGACCAATACACCAGCTGGTCACAGGATTTGGTAGGAGGCTCTTGTCCCCACCAATAAGCAGCTGAGATTTTGAGGCCTGGGGAAGCCTGGAGGAGGGAGATGGGGAAGCAGGAGAAGCCTTTCTTCTGTATCCTCAGAATCCAGTTCATAGGAAGAGGCTGCTGCTGCTCACCCGCCTTCGCACAGGCAGGCATCTTTCGTCAGTTCCTCCCCTCTGCAGCTGATGAGCAGACCTTTGTTAGAGCACTTAGTCCACTCGGCAGCGCTGCTGGGAGGTGGGCAGAGCCCTGGATCCTCAAGGGCGAACAAGACACCTTTGCTGTTCAGAGGACCCTGAGCTTGTGAGGGAGAGGTGTGTGCAAGCCACCACTGTCATCTAATCTAATCTAGCTGTCCAGCTGCGAAAAGAGTTAAATAAATTGTCTACACGAGCTGGATATCACACAGTTGTTTCAACAAATGAAGGCGGGCTGGGAGTACAGCACAGTGGTGGAACACAAGCATGCGTGTGCACACAGAAAAATGAAAGCAAGTTCTACGTACTGATAGGAGACAAACGTTATACACACAGTATATACACAGGTACACACACATGTTACACGCAGATACACACATCTGGGTTTTTTTATAAGAACTAATAAACCATTAACAGAGAATATCTACAAAATTAGAGAAAAAGGAGGGCTACAAGGAAAGCCAACTTTTTGGCCCTAGCCTTCTAAGGTCAATTAAGACTCAGGACATATGAGAAATTGTACTGTAACGTCATGTACCTCGGTAGTGTCCCAAATTTTCTGATCAAGAAGATTATGGGGCCAAAGAGGAAAGTGATCGATGACATAGAGTGGGCCTAAGGAGAGTCACATGGGGAGAAGACACTCTCTCAGGCTTTCACAGAGAGCACATTGGCCAAGCAATGGCCGTGACTCATCCACATGGCTGCACTGATAAAGGTTCTACAATCTGAGGTACAGGATCTCAGGACAAATCCTGAGGGCATTTCATTGACCTTCTCAGACCAAAAAGCTACAACTCTTGTTGCATAGGTCCTGCTTTACCTTGGTCTTAACCATCCAGTAGAAAAGTATGAAGACGAAATATAAGAAATAAAGCCACGCTGTTAAGTTAAGCTGTGGGGGACTCAGGTCAATAATTTCTGACATTGCCAGTTAAACAGAAGACCCAATGCTATTATGGGCTACTGGACTCTTTTAGAATATTTTGCTGAGTTTACACACCTATAATATTCAATAACGGAACTTAGGAAAAATGGGGTACACTGATGAATGTCCGTTCTGTATCTGTGTATTCAAAGTGGTTGGGGTAGATATATAGTTGCATTGTCTTAATGAATAGAATGATTTGTTCTAATGGTGTTTGTAAATAGGATCACAAGTCCGCATCTTGTACAGCAATTAACCACTAAGAAGAATATATGCAGTGTATTATTTGTTGAAACTGTACTTCTGATTTGATTTGAAACTGTCTCATTGCTATCTGTTTATCAATAAAACTGTAGGAAAAAAAACAGAGAATATCTAAAAGTAAGATCGAAAGAATATCTAATCTCTAGCTTACACACTTAGAATTTCTACAGCAGGTCATGTGTACTTATCATAGCGCGATATGCAGAATTCTGGAAGGACAGTGTTCCCGGGGCAGGAACGACACTTGCAGAGGCCCCGGGACAGGCGCTAGCGTGGCTGAAGCTAGGAAGAGCCAGCATTTAGGAGCTGGAGTGCAGTGAGGGAAAGGAGTTGGCGGACCTCAGCCTGGGTTGCAGGGGCAGGTGGCGCTGGACCTTTTAGGCCACAGTGAGGAGCATGACTTTTATCCTGACGTGAGGAGAGCGGCAGGAGGGTTTTAAACAAGCATATCTTATGATATGATTTGTGCTTTTAAAAGATCATTCCGACTACCTAGAGAACCAGGACGCAAAAAGGGAAGCAGGCAACCGGGTAAGAGATTGCAGCAGAATCCAGAGAAAAGATGGTCACGGCCTAGGCTAGTGTAACACACGAGAGACACCCTCTGTCTGTGTGGAACACGAAACTAGGAGTTTCGGGCAAAGCGTTGCGCTAAGGAACCCGGAGGACGGACGCACATTTTGCTGGGGAAAGGCGGCGCGCAGACGCGGAAGCCGTGGGGAAGGGAGAGCCAGGAGCAGCGCCCGAGCAGGCGGAAGGCAGGATGGGCCGCAGTTAAGTCGGGAGCTTCTCCCCAGAACTCCCTGAACTCTCTCCCCAGAACTCAGGGGTCCCCAAGAGGATGCATGGGCTCAGGCCTCATGGGGGACGCCCTTCTATGACTCCCCTCGACTCTAGCTTCCTAGCACAAAACCCCTGCACTTAGGAGCTGGAGTGCTCAGGGGTGAATCCCAGCTCCCTTGCCTCCTCCCTGTATGACCACTCTGAGCCTCAGTTTCCTCATCTGTAAAAGACAGATGACACAGGTCAGGGTGTGTAAAGCAAGTTCCCGGCCCCTGGTAAACACCAGGTGAAAGGCCCCTGGCAGATGACAAGACGCCAGGACGAAGTCACGGCATGAGCACAGCTGCCCTGGCACCCGCAGAGGTGGCACTGCACAAGCTGCCCATCGCCCTGCCCCTCGCTGCCTCACCTGTGAATGGGGTGTGGGGTCCACATGTGGGCATCGGGGATCGGAGCCGATGGATGGTCTGTGTGCGCTGCAGCACTGAGGTGCGCGCTGGCCCGCGCCACCAAGCAGCCTGGCCACGGAGGAGCGCTAAGGCGCCTAAAAGGCCGTGAGTCTACGAAGGGCCTCCTGCCACTAGCTGTCCAGCAAGCAGCGCAGCCGCCTTGGAAATGTTTTATCTACACCGCCAGAATCAGAGCTGCCAGGCCCTAAGAGTGAAATCACACTTTTGGCCAGAAAGGCCAAAAGACTGGTTACGAGACTGCACGAATCAGGAAGAAGGGACCGCGGCGCCTGCACCTGCCGCGGAGCACCGGCACACGTATGGGCGTGCGCGTCCACATGTGCGTGCGCGGGCACAGGCAGCGCGCACAGCCCACGCGCACATTCTCAGGCACGTCGTGCACATGCGCGCACACGACGCACACACGTGCCCACGCAGGCACCTCGGCGCCCACGCACCTGCTCGCGCGTGTGCTGCTGGGCTGTGTTCCTCCATCAGATGCTTCACGGGCGGCCACGTGCAGCAGCCACCCGAGACGCAGGCACCAAGGAGCAGAGGGGCGGAGGAGCTGTCCCCACAGCCTCCTGCCTGCAGGCGCCTGTCCCTCAGGCGGGGCGACCCCTGGGCTGCAGCTCCTCAAAGAGATGCCTGCCACAACCTTCCTGGCACACAGTCCCTTGCCGCCTCTGCCAGCTCCTTGCGAGGGAGCCACAGACCCTGCCTCACCTGCCACGCAAGGCGGGTGGCCACGTGTCCCAGACTTGACACCTGCCTCTCTCTCCTCGCCCCGACGCCCAGGGCCCAGCCCTGGCTGAATTTCCAGGCCATCTGAAGAGACCTGCATACCTGTCTCAGTAGACCTTCTAGGTGACAGGGCAGGCAGACGGGGACAGGACCACCCTCCCCGATGTCTCTGTGGCAGGGGAGCCTACAACATTGTTTTTCCTGTTTTGCCATAAGTTTACAAAAAGCTGACATTGAAATTCGTGCAGCATTGCCAGCGTAAAGACTGTTTCCCAGCTCCTTTGTAGCAGAGTTTAGGTATATGACAAGTTCTGGGCCCGGAGGTAAGCTCAGGTGTTGGGTGGCAAATTCTGAGAACCTTGTATTTGCCCTGTAGCCTCTGCCCTTCCTCCATCGTACTGCCTGGAATGCAGATGTGAGGGCTGGTTCTCCAGCCACCATTTTGGATCATGAAGACACGGGCTCTGGGCTGATGCAGCAGGATGGCAGGGGCCCAGGTCCTGAAGGGTTCAGGCAGCACAGCCCCCTGGAACTGGCTCCTTGCAAACTTTTATGAACACAGTGGTAATTTCCTCCACTGAGGCTGGCTGTGCAGGCAAACCTAATCCTGACGGCTGTCTCTGCCACCTGAGCTATGAGCTCCCCCAGTTACAGCCCTGCATAGCTTTGGCGTCGCCGTTGTACTGGACTAAGAAGGTAATGACCCTCATGGGGTGGGGCAGGTGTCCCCCCACCAACTCCGCAAGGGACTCGGGCGCTGGGCAGCAGCTTCTCTGGCGTGGGGAGGTGGGAGGAGGCAACTCCGGAGCCTGGGGCTGGGGAAGCCACCCCAGGGTGAAGAGCTTACCTTTCTCGGATGCTGGGGCCAGGTCAATGAAGCTGCGGCATGTTTCTCCTTGAAGAGAAAAAGAAAACGCGATTTGAGCATGTGAGGGCAGATGTGGGCTCCGAGCCTGAGCCCGCCCCTCCCCAGCACCTTGCAGCGAGCCTAGCACCTTGCCCCTCCCCAGCACCTTGTCCCTCCCCAGCACCTTCCCCCTCCAGCACCTTGTTCCTCCCAGCACCTTGCAGCGAGCCCAGCACCTTGCCTCTCCCCAGCACCTTGTCCCTCCCCAGCACCTTGTCCCTCCCCAGCACCTTGCAGCGAGCCCAGCACCTTGCAGCGAGCCCAGCACCTTGTCCCTCCCCAGCACCTTGCCCCTCCCCAGCACCTTGCAGCGAGCCCAGCACCTTGCAGCGAGCCCAGCACCTTGCCCCTCCCCAGCACCTTGCCCCTCCCCAGCACCTTGCCCCTCCCCAGCACCTTGTCCCTCCCCAGCACCTTGCAGCGAGCCCAGCCTCTCTAACCCAGTGAGCTATGGAACCCTTCTTGCTAGCAGCGGTGCAGACACCAGGAGTGGCGAGAGAAGCAGTCCCCCTCCCCAGCCAGTCCGAGGGTGGTCTGCGGCCCCCTTCTCCCTCCCCCGCTGGCCAGGCCCCTCAGTCCTTGGGGGGCACAGCTTCCAGCCCTGCCTCGGCCCCTCCTCACTGCCACTCCAGGCCTGTGTTCCAGGCTGCTGCTCCAAGCGCCCGCCTCCTTTGGGACACCGTTGAGGACGCAGGCCTTCCTCCGGCAGGCCCCCCACCACCTCGCACGCCCATCTCGCCCTGCTCCTCAGGGCTGGCATGGGGCTCCACTCCACCTGAGGCCTCCACACTGCCACTCTGTCTAGAACACACCACCCCTCGACACTCACAGGGACCCCGGCCCTCGCCCTTCTAGGGGACACCCCATCTCTCTCAGGAGTCTGCCTTTGACCATGAGATTTCTTCGTTCCTTTTCTTTTTCTTTTGCACCACTGGGGTTGAACCCAGCATCCTCCCACGGAGCCGTGTCCTCACCCCTTTTCTGTTTTGAGACAAAGCCTCACTAAATTAAATCACCCAGGCTGGGCTTGAACTTGTGATCTTGCTGCATCAGCCTTGGTTGGCTATTTATTAATGCCAGCTTACACACACACACACACACACACACACACACACACGCACACACACGCCAGCTGAAAACCCCTTCAAGGCAGGGGCTCCATCCTTAACGCTTCCAAGCTCAGTAAATGGCACCTCCACCCTCCCGAGGCGCAGGCCCAGAGCTTGGCAGCGCCCCGTTTCTGTCTTCCTTTCACACCAGCAGCTGATGTGTAGCCCCAGTTTCCAGGGACCTCATGGTCCCATCACATCTCCCACATGTGCCAGCCCAGGTGCACCCTCTCATCTTCAGTCCCTCCCCGCCCCAGACCAGCCCTGAGTGGCCCCTGAGAATACGGCGACAGGCAGCCGTAGCCTGGTCTCAGAGCACTTGTGCAGGCGTCCCCCATGTAAGATGTGAAAACAGGAAATGTCTCCCTGTGTGCGCAGACTCCATTTCCTGGTGGAGAATCAGACTGGGCCTTGGACACCCCACAGGGCAACCCTCGCCTCACAGGGCAGGCAGATGCATCCCTTGGGTGGGCAAGCACCTGCCTTCCTCCTGGCCTCCCTTACGGCTGCAGACAGCCACCGAAACACGGGCTGGGGGGACCTTAGTGTGAGTTGACAGCCTCTGGCTTAAAGATGTCACTGCAGATCTCAAAGAGGAGATGGAGTCAGTCAAAATGGAACCATTGTGGATTAGATCAGAGAAAAGGGACCTGGAAGCTTCCAGCGACTCTCACTCAGCGCAGTGTCTGCTTGGAGCTTCCAGAGCTCGTCCCGAAGGAGGCCGGCGAAGCCCTCAGGCGTGCCCTGCAGCCCCGCGTTAATGCAAAGGCAGAGGACGGAAGGCAGAGGACTGATCGTGAGAGCCTCAGGTGCCCCGCTAAGGGGCTGCCACCTCCCTTCACTCATTCTGTGATGGCCATTCTGTCCCTCCTACCAGGGGACCCCAAGAAGGATAAAAATGAAGAAAACAAAGTTTTGTGCTAGATTTTGAGTGCTTTCTTTTTTTTTTAAGAAAGAACTTTAATGTTGCATAGTTTTCTCAAAAGCTCCATCGAGATAAATTTAAAGGGCAAATTCAGACCAGCACCCCAGACATGCTGCTGAGGGCATTTTTGTCTTTGTTGGCACCCTCCTACATGAAAGCTAAAATTAACATGGGGCCAGTGGTGCACACTTGTAAGCCCAGCCATCTAGGAGGCTGAGGCAAGGGGGCTGCAAGTTCAAGCCCAGCATGGGCAATTTAGCAAGATGCTGTCTTAAAAACACAGGCTTAGCAGGGGGGCATAGCCAGGTAGAGGAAGGCTTAGGCAAGGGTCACAAGTTCAAACCTAACCTGGGTAGAGACTTAGCAAGACCCTGTCTCAAAATAAAAAATTAAAAAGGGCTGAGGGTGTAGCTTAGGGTGAAGGTGCTGGGTTCCATCCTCAGCATCTAAGAGACAGACAGACAGACAGACAGACAGACAGACAGACAGACAGACACAGAGAAAGACATGAAAAGGAAAGGAACTGAAAGTACAGCTCAGTACAAACAAAAATTAAATTAAAATTTATTTTATAACTGTACTGGTATAAAGGTGAATTTTTTTATGTTATGCTATTTATTTATCTTTTTATTATTTTTTTTTTGAGGTACCGGGAATTGAACTCAGGACCTTGCACTTGCCAGGCAAGTGCTTAAAAGTGAATATGTTAAGAATTACATATTTTCTTTGTCTGCAAGTTCAATCCTTTTTTCTCTTCTAATTTTAAAAGAAGTGAAAGCCTCTACACAGGCCTGCGAGAGTGCAGGGGGCCGGCTTGGTCCCGCAGCCTGAGGCAGACCGGACCCCACCCTCCGCCACAAATCTTGCTCTCGCAGGACCAGGCTGCCTGGGAATATTTAAGATTTATGTGCAAGTCACTTGCCTTCTTTCTTCTTTAACAGTTTGCTGGAGATATAATTCAAATGCCGTGTAATTAATCTATGTAAAATGTACATTTCAATGATTTTTTTTTTTAGAGCATTTTTATTGTATTCACCAGGTTGGGTGGCCCTCACCAATTTTAGATCGTCTTTATCACCCTACGAAGAAGTTCCGTACCTGTTAGCAGTCGGATCTCACTTCCTCCAGCCCCGCCAACCCCCAGCACAGCTAATCTAGTTTCTCCATCTATTGATTGCTCTGGTCTGGACATTGCACATAAATGGAATCGTGCACTCTATGGTCTTTTGAGACTGGCTTCTTTCACTCAGCGTAATGTTTTCCGGGATTAGCCGTAAGGTACCCTGCATCAGGACTTCCATTTCATTTGATGCCATTCTATAGATGTGCAGTTGCCCTCCCTTCTCTGTGGCTTTGTGGGGGATTTTTTGTTTTGTGTGTTTGTTTGTTTTGCAGTTTCTATTACCTCCTGTGTTCAACTGGGGACAGAAAATAATAAAGGGGAAGTTGTGGGGATTAAAAAATACCCAGATGTTTTTGATGGTTCACCACTCTGAGTAACAACAGAACCGGATAGTTGGTCCTGCCCAGGATGAAAGCCATCCCTTTGTGCAACGTAGCCTCACTGTGCAGGACACTAGCTGCCTGTGGGTCGCTCAGTGGCCATCTCAGCTATTGGATCCCCCATCCCAGTGTCGCAGGGCTTGTGTTCCAAAAGCCCTTATTTTGCTTAATGATGGTCCTACAAGCAGGCATGCGAAGAAGGCACGAGAAACACAGAAGGACAGACGAGCTCCAGTGCTACGGCACAATGCCCAGAGCAGATAGGGAGACAAAGTGAACACACATGTTTCAATGCTACCAAATATTTCAGGTCTTGGAGCCCCCTGCCAATCCCCTGGAGCTAGAAAGAGCCTACTGTACTGCAAACACTAGAGATGGCTATTTGACCTTGTTTCCACTATTTGGCTATGTATAAACATTCACATTACAAGGTATTTTATGAACAAGTTTTTGTTGCTCTTGAGTATATGCCTGGGAGTAGAATTACTGAGCCTTGTGGTAACTCTGTGGTTAATCTTTTGAGGAAATGTTAGGCTGTTTTCCAAAGCCACTGCAGCGTTTCACATCCCTACTAGCAACGTGTGAAGGTTACAACCTTACCTCTTTGCCAACATTTGTTACTGTTCATCTTTCCCCCCCCCCCACGGAAAGTGGTCCTTGCCGGTATCTTCTTATAGTTTGATTGACAGTCTGCTTGTCTAATGACAAATGATGTTGCCTCTTTCTCATGTGCTGATCAACCAATGAAATATCTTTTTTGGAAAGATATATTCAGAGTCTGTCCATTTTCAACCCGAGTTATCGTTTTATTATGAGTTGTGGATGTTCTTTATAGAGTCTGCCTGAAAATCCTTGACTAAATGTCTGACTTGTAAACATTTTCTCCCACTCTGCATGTTATCTTTCCCCTGTCTTAATGATGCCATTTGACCTACAGGAGATTTATGTTTTAATGACATCCAGTTAATCTTTTGTTTTCTTTTGTTGCCTGTGTTCTTGGTATCCTATCTAAGAAGGCTTTGCTTAACCCAAGATCATGAAGATTGACTCCTTTTTTCTTGGAGTTTTAACTCTTCTACTTATAACTGATTTATTAATATGACAAATAAAAGGGAACCTGCCTGCCCCGCCCCCGGGGTGCGCTGAGACAACAGTTGAGCCTGGGCGTGGTGGCACGCTCCTGCAATCCCAGCACTTGGGAGGCTGCAAACAGGAGAATCACTACAAGTCCCGTCTATGTAGTGAGACCCTGTAGTCCCTGTAGACCCTGTCCTAATTTTTTTTTTAAAAGGAACCAACTTCACTCTTTTGCATATTATTCTAGCAGTATTTGTTGAAGAAAAACAATTGTTTCTCCACCAAATTTTATTGGTACTCTTGATAAATTATTTGCCTATAAGTGTATTTGTTTGATGCCCTTAGTACCTTTCAATTGGTCTATTTGTTTATCA